GTAGTAGTAGTAGTAGTAGTAGTAGTAGTGTAGTGTAGTGTAGTGTAGTGTAGTGTAGTGTAGTGTAGTGTAGTGTAGTGTAGTGTAGTGTAGTGTAGTGTAGTGTAGTGTAGTGTAGTGTAGTGTAGTGTTGGGATCATGCACGGATAAAGCTGAGTTCGTTTCTGTTTTGGGAACAGCACATCTTCTATGTAATGCCACCATGCCTCTGACATGCACAGCAAACTGCAGACCACTGTCATGACAACACCATGAGTATGCAGAACCGCTGGGAGGGGAGGGGGGCGCACCAGCTTCGGAAGTCTCGACGTCCAGGTTCTTGAACACGAGTCGCCCCATGCCTGTGCAAAGTTGAGGTGGGATGTTGTCATGACGGGCTGGGAGCTTTGCTGCAAATCATTATGCAACTGCATAAGGCAACGATCTCATGTGTTTGGCTCACGCAGAAAGACACCCCAGATATCGAAGTCATCTAGCACAAATTTAATTTGCTGCAGTATATCCCGCAGCCTGCTCATTGAATTTCACACTGCATTCCCGCGCTGAATTACAATTTGCCGGACTTCAATAACTGGAACACATTCTTTAACTGGGCATCTCGAGCCCACTTGCGTAGCTTTTTTTGTGTCGCTTCGCGAACACAAGCTTGGACAGCACGGCGGTTCTGCTTTGCACGCTTCAGAAATTTATCGGCTTTGCGCCGCACAGCAGCATGCTTTCTCGTTCGCAGCATTGCCAACGCAGTCCCAAACCTTGGTAGGGTTTTCGTTGGGGCTTTAGTGGAATGGGTCGAGATTGCATAATGTCAAGGCAGCGAAAACCGGGCAGGATTCGAGGAAGGACTCATGTTTTAAGCATGATCCGGTTTGTCGTGTCAGTCCAACACCATGCAGTCGAGCCGCGCACGTGGGTAGGATTGTGAGTTGCAATAGAGCAGGAACACCAGTCAGTCGTTCGATGCCGTTTCGATCTACATACCTGTGCACCATTTCCGAAGCGCTTTCCTTCTGGACGTAGAGAGGTCTGAAGCGGTAGATCTCACCCAAAAACTTGTGACCTTTGCCAACAGCAAGGGAGACTGAAAATTAACACCACTTCCCCATATTGATAGTTTTGGTAAAGTCCCTATACCCAGTTTCATCAACTATAACTAGGTTCGTGGCTGGAGTAGAGCCAGGTTCCCTTTTCGGTTGGAGCTCCATAGGTACGCATCTGGATGTTCGTTTTGTACCATTTCACTTTCTTGAACAGGAGTTGCATTGCTGGGTGTACCTCCAGCAGGGATCCTCGGGGCTGTTCCATAACTATGTGGACCTTCTTCGCGCATGCGATGAACATCAAAATTGCTGTTCTTGCAGCCATCACGTTTCCTTTCTCCGTACTTGGAGCAGCTGTGTTGCCGAGCGGATAGCCCTTGCTTCTGCCCGTTGAGGAGCGGGACCTTGATTATGCTCATGATGCTGTATGTACAGGCTTCACATGTACACCATGCACAGGTCTACACTCTATAAAGGTTATGACAACACAAGTGCAGCCTAGAAACATAAATACCCACGAAGAACACACCGGGGCCAACGTGAGGAATGACCCGGGAAGAAGGTTCATGACCTGGAAAAGTGCATGTATGAAACCTTTTGCCGATAGAATGTCCATCCACTGGTCGTCGAAGCAAATGTCATAAGCCACACAGCGTCGTCCTTCCTGTCCATATACACATACATGCTTTCGCTCTTCACCCACACACGAACACTTATGTCTATCTTACGAAGTCGTGCCTCGATCTCAGCCAACGTCACGCTCATCATCCCGGCAAAAAACTCGACGTGCTCGGTAGGATTCGTCCAGCACAAACCAGGAAGGGAGAACACGAGGTTCACAAGCAGAACGCACACCTGGGCTAGACGTGATGTTCGGCTGTTTCCGGGTGTAAGGGAGGGAAGTGTTTGGGAAGTCAAAGAAATCGATGGGATTCATCGCAGGGAAAAACCTCAAATTAATGAAACCCAGAAGCCCATCAAGTTCGGAGCCTCATACCGGAACTCAGTTTACTCGTATAATCCCAATTTGTCCCAAGCTAGGAAGAACGCTGGGGTCATAGAATGCTTTCTGCGTGCGACAAGATACCAAAGGTGCTCCTATGGCATGTAGTCCAGAAACAATCCAATCTTGTTGGTCATTTCGCGTGACCATGTCACCACCGTTGGCAGCCCGTGCTGCGGTCTTGTGTTTTTTGCGGCCACCGTCGACGGTATGCTTGTCTCGCTTCAAGCCCATTGCTACTGTAAAAGTTCGTTACAGTGAAAAGTTCATGACACACCCGATTTGCAAGTCTCAAAATCGATTGCTTCAGGAGTGTTTTTGTTTCATGGAATTGCAGTTACAAACATACGTGTGTGTGTGTTTGATACTGCAAAATGCTGCAATAGAAGCGTTACTGCGCAACTTCTGGCTCACACATCCGCGAAGAAAGAAGCCCTGATCTCAAGCAGTGGGACGTGCCTGTACTATAACTCCATAGCAGCCATCGAGGTCATTGTCCCCCAGACCTGGCACGCGTAACGAAATACTTTGGTCTATGTAGCTGTTCGTTTCAACACTGAAAAGCTGGGCTTGCCTCCACCCGGGGCTTCTATTATAGAAGCTGCGGCATGCCCAGCACAGGCATCGACCGCCCCAGACAGCATTGTACTCTACAAAGCCTTGTAGCGGTTATGAAGTTAAGGTCACACAGCCTATGTCATACATGCGGATGCTAGCTATCGTGCTACAAAGGGTTCTTACGTTGCTATAGGCCACGTGGTGCATAAGTACAGCTTTACTTACAGTTGACGTCTCATGCATGATTCAGGGCGTCGTGATAAAGCCATCCTGCAACGCAGCTCGCTGCAGCTATGGGAAATGTAGGGCTGAAGGCTTATAATGGGGCTTAAACTTTAATCAGCTTCTCCATCGTGTGAACCAAATAAACTCGGCAGCAGCAACTCTCCAACAAGCTTCACACAAGGAATTGTATGCTACACGCACCACAACAAAGCTGAGCACATGTTCGCACTGCAAGAGCGACCTTGCTGCATGCTCGCGTCTCATCTATGCACTTGCCGCAACACGCCTATGCTTCAGCCTGCGTGCTACGCACAAATGCCTTTAAAGACTCAGAAATAGCTTCGTGTCTTGACATACTTTATAATGGATCATGATGACACCCATTCTGCCACGGACGCTCATTGCCTTCATCCTACGCAGACAATGCAACGCATTGTCTGTATCACCAGCCTCGGGGTCGCCCGAGCCGGCCATTCCCAGGCAGTTTCACATCTCTTGACATCACAGGTTCAAACCGCTTCGGGCTTTCGCCTCATCCCATGCTGCCGCAACGCTGGAGTACTTTCCAACGGAAATCTGACCCTTCGGGCCAGGAGCATCCGACCTGGCCTGCTTAACGTAAAATGCCTTCTGTCGCAAAAGGATCTCCACCTTGGCCTCGCCATCGGTCACGGTGTAACTGTGGTTGCCCTTGTGCTTGGCCAGATCACCCTCTGGCCTGGCTTCTACGGGAACCCAGGATAGACTGTGCTCCTTAAAGTAGGGACCATTTCCACCGTCAAGGTCGATCGCGCGTCGCGGGCCGGCATTTGCCGGCGGTTCCTCGTGCTTCGCCTTCTTGGAGTCCTTGCCACCCAAGGTTTGGGCGGCTCGCTTCTTTCCGCGCTTGCCAAAGGTGGCCTTGGATCGGCCATCTTTCGTTCCTTTCTTGACTTTGCGTCGGTTGCCCCCTTTTTTGAAGGGTGCTGGGACTGGTGGCGGAGTGATCACTTCGTCGGGATTCATCCAAGCCGGCATCGCAGGAGGCGGTGTCTTCAAGGTGGTGTGCTCGCTCTTGTTGCGCAAAGGCTTCGGCGGCGACTTGAGAGACTGGGAGGAGCCTTACAAGACAGAATCGTGGGTTATGGGAACGATCTCTTTATAGATACCCTGCCTTCGTCATCCTCGCTGTTGCCATCCTCCGAACCAGCAGGGCTGCTGCCGGGATCACTTCCTGTTCCACATATCGTGTGTGTGCGCGTGCTTAGTTACTTCTTTGTTCATGTACTATATACACAATACACACATGCGACACGTGTGAAAAATGGCCTGCGGGTGGGGTCTTCGGCGATGCTGCTACGACAGCTTCACTGCCAGTCTTCTGAGCCGACAGATGCTCGCCTGCGAGATGCTCATGTTATAAGGATTCGATTGTTCTGGCATATCAAACGTGCCTAAGCGGAGGGTGCGCTCGCTGTCGTGGTCTGAGTCCGCACTGCCTTTGGTACAAAGAGGGTACGGTATCCTACATCTACGTTTCACTATGAACGAATTGAATAGCTATAAGTATCCCAGGCTTGGTTTACGATTCACGAGTGGGCCCAAAATCCTAAACCCTAAACCCTATAAACCCGAAACTAAATCGTAAACCAAATACCCTACAAACCCTAAACCAGGACCTCGAGATCATAGCAGCAACTGTGCCTAAATTCAACAAACAACTATATAAGGACTCAGCGATAAATGTTCGAAGTTGCACACCCCGCAACAGTTTGAGAGCAGGAGCTTTGAAGTTTATGAACCGCTATAGATCGCCAAGACAACTAATCGGACCCCCTTAAGTGTACCACAAACCAAGCTACTAAACTCTACCCGTCACTTGAATGGCCCATCCCACCTGTCTCGGAATCTGAATCATCGGTCGATGGTGCTGGCCCGGCTGCACCTTCCAAGACAAGTTTAAGTAAGGGTATTTCTAAAGCTCGTACGTAGGATTGTTTTGCGATTGTGCCGTAAACTCACATGGCAGGCCTAAACAACGGTTTTGATTTGGAGTATGCCTTTGGGGACTACTGTTTTAGGGGTTTAGGGGTTCGCGGGGGTGGCATTTTGGGCCACGACTGTAGAAAGCATTTTGAAAGGTTTTTTGTGGTGTCCAAATCTAGCATTGCTAAGGGGTGTACATCCGTCAAGGTCATTGTTTCCAGAGAAAGACTATGAGTATATGTTGTAGAACGATGAGAGTATAGTTATGGGAGTTATGGTGGTGTAAGTGCTATTTGCAAAGACAAGCTACTGTAGAACCGTCTTCAATAATGTATGTGACACGAAGTTGCATGTCAAGCCTGATCTGTAGACCCAAAAATCAGAACCGAACCTTCTCTCAAGCAGACAATGACAACCTACCGCAGCCTGCAGAGCCCTGAAGCCTTTTCACCTGTAAGACTCGAGGCCCAGGATGTTTTATAGTGTTTTTAAGGGCTTCGCCTCGGCAGTTGAGAGCGTCCTCGCGCTCGGCTGCCAGGCCTGCCAAAGGAATCCACACAGTTTGTTGAAGAAGAGCGGAAGATGCAGCTGCACTGCATGAAAGCAAGACGGGGAGCCTTCCTCGAACTCCACGGGCACTTCCGTGTCTGCGGTGTGGCCCGAGTAGCCTGCATGGACAACCCATGGTAGCCGACAATCGAAGCATGCCCTGCAATCCCTCATGTGTGGTATGCTCGTACCTTCTCTTGCATCATCCACCGAAGACTCCGATTCCTGATCAAGCCGACTACAGGAACTTCAACAAGCTAGCCTGGAGCATGGGGTGGCCTCTTCCGAGACCTTAGGGTCTTCGTCGAGCTCCTCGGACTCGCCCGACTCCTCGCCGGAGTCTTCGTCATCATCGCCTGCAAGTGCGACTGACAGAGTTCGTTTTCAACGTGGTGCGGAAGCGTACCTCGGCCCGAAACAGTCTCATCCTCGGGCGCCCCTTCGTCCGGCTCGTGCCCGGTGACTTGGGAATCCTGTGGCTGTCGCGTGGGCGACTTCGTCAGAAGCTTTTTGAGACGGGCCACTCGATGATCAGTCGAAGCCGGACCTAAGTGCTATGTCAGGCGTCGTGCTTGCGGTCCTTCCAAAGCTCGGAAAGCTCGCAAGGGGAACCCCACCCCAAAGCAGAGTGATACCGCATAAGATTTGCATCCTCGTTGCCATTTCTGAAGAGGTAGCGTAGGGACCCCATCAATTTCTTGATGCGCTTGGCCTCTTTCGCAGCGTGGTCCCAAACCGTCTCACCCTGCTTGGGCTTCACCAAGCCCTTTTGTCGTTTGTCGTTCTTTCTCAGCCAAACATCTGTCAGCAGGAAGCCCGACGGTACCTGTGAAGCATGCAAAGCAGTTCTTGCACGTGGAATAAAGCTTCCGCAGAGTTGCAAGCAGGCAACACGATCTGGGAACTCCTTCACAAGGGGCTGCAAGAAACAGTAGTGGCGCCCGATCTCCTGCTGCACGAAAGTTGAGTGAATAGTGCGCAGGGATTAATTTGCGAGTCACGCGTCGACTACATGTGTCCTTCACAGTAGCGTAGGAAATTTCGCTCTGCAACTGAATCACTTGAACCCCTTCGGCAGATCGTTGCCGAGGATGATCCCCTTTGCACGCCCCGAGAGGCCCGCCATGATCTCGGCAGCAAGTCGATCCTGGCAAAACGACCAACGCACCGTAAAGCTAATAGCACGCGACGGCAACAGTGCAAGCAAGCTGCAATAAGATCGAAATCCCACGAGATCTTGCCAGGACCTAATATGACAAGAGCAGATCTTTCAAATTTCAACAATTTGTCAAGCAACTGCAGCAGCTATAATGCTGCTATGGCACGGCTGGATTTCCAACGAGTGCCCTCAAGCTCTTGCTCGGCATCGAATGGCACCAGCTCCATCCGCAAGCCCCGGGCTTCTGCTTCCATCGTTGCGACGATGGGTAGCTAAAGCAGTTGCACGGCAAAAACAACTGCTGCACAAGCCAAATGCTTGCGCCATTCGCACAGCATCAAAGCGAGTCTTGCAAGTGCAGCAAGCTGGATGCAGCTCTGCCTCCACAACTGCAAACCACAAAAGATTGCGCCGTGACTGCATGGCCTCCTCTTCCACGCAATGCGTGGCTTCGCGCCACACATGTATGTGTGTGCATGAATGTGTGTGTGTGTGTATATATATGTACTGTATACGTATGGGGCTTCGGGAACTTATTCTGATAGTCCTCTCCTGCTATATCTCTTGCTCTCCTCTCCCTCTCCCTCTCTTCTTCTTTTTTCGTGCCGAACCATGTCAGGCCTGCGCAAACATGCTTCAATGCTGGCTACATGCACACAGCAGTCATGTCGCCCCTTGAACACAAGTTGCATGTCGCTGAAGAAGTGCCTCGAACACTATCTTGCCGCCAATAGCAGAAATCTCTTATAACAAAAACGATGTCCGATGTGGGAGACATTATACGCTATATACAAGACATCATACGCTGCGTACGCATCCTCAGATACATCTAACAGCTGCGGAGGCGTGCAGCTGTTAAATCTGACGCAGCTGTCCTATGGACAGCTGCGGGCCCCAACGGTAGCGGTTCGACCCCTGAAACCTTCAACCATAAGCCCGTCATGAAAACCTCAAACGCAAAGCTTCTAGCCTCAAGCCCTAAGACCTAGAACCCACAAACCCTGCCTTGCCTGAAAACCTTCAAGCCTAAACCATAAGGCCTAAACCCCTACAGCTCTAAATCCCTACGCCTGAAACCCCCAAAGCCTTACGCCCTAAAGACCGTTCACCCTAAACCCCAAACCCCAAAAAACAATGATCCTTAAAGGCAACGTAGCAAATACAGAAGCTGTGTCAGTGTCCACGCGCATGATAGTCTTCAGGGTAGCGTGCGGCGCACTGCGGATACATTAGGCTCTGAGCTCAATTCCTGCTGTTGGACGGATGTTGCGAACCCTGATAGAAGCCTTGGAGTGACAGCCCAAAGAACACTGACACTGTTTGTTAGCAGCTAAACCCAGCAGGCACCTGCAGCAGACTGCTCAACTTCAACTCTGTCGGCGAAGCTGTCTGAAGCCGGAAGGCGGTACCCTGGACGTAGTTCAGATCTGCTGGATCTGTGCTGCTTCTGGACTTTCCAGCTTGGCGCTCGGCCCGCATGGCGCGGTAGTCATCTGTCGATGGCTCTATCATGGGCACGTGTCTCTGCAAGCTCTGAGAGCAAGATGCGTAGAACCATCTGTTCCACCTGAGGCTGACAGGCTTATAGATGCACTTAGCACGATTGGTTTCAGAGCAAAAGCAAAGGATCACAAAAGCTACGGTTGAGTCTGGCTGCTTGTTTTGCTTCAGGGTGCCTTTGTTGGTTCGACTCACTACTCCGGCGAGATGACTGAAGGCATCCTCGCAGCTCCATTTCGTGTGGGAGGGGCCTCCGAAGAGACAGAAGGCGAAGTCTCGGTACTCCGCAGACTCCGCATTCCAGCCTGACTGCTCCCCCGTTGCCCACAGCTCTAGCACCACCTGCCACCTGTGGAAAAACAGGTCGCTGAAGAGAGTGTTCAGAGCCTTGCTGGTCTCGTCGTCGTTCGATTTGCGATATGTGTTAGCCTGCAAAAGCAACTCGTAGAGCCGCTTCTGGAGGACAAGGCCCCACTGTCGTGTCCGTCCATCCTGTGCAAAGGCCGTCGCGCAGAGATTCGGCATACACCACGAGTGCGGTGCCTGGCTCCATGACCTCGGGTGGATAGGATAGCAATGCCGAAAAGAATTACAGACAGGGCATGGCACAAGAATTCATTCGGCCCAGCCTGGCTGAGGCAAGTTCAAGGTTCAGCTTCCAAGCTGCGTCCCAGATGTCCTGTTCCATGACCACCCAGGACTCCGACGGGTCTGGCAGCCGTGGAAGCCAAGACGCCATGCCAAGTCCGTCCGCGAAGGCCCGGCTGTGGATGTTTCGCAGGGTCTTCAGCACTGTCTTGTACCAGCCCCCCGCGGCTCGTTCACCAAGCCAAGCCAGGCATGCTGCCTGCAAGTACTGTGCTGCGTAACATTCAGCTTATATGTCTCCCGTCCCTCGCCTGGTCTTTCTCTTGCTCCTCCAGCATGGTGGTGAACTCCTCGGTCAGGTGCATCGTGCAACCGGAGATCACCAGCAGCTCCTTCTGCACGAACCTCAGAGCACTCTGAAGGCACCAAGCACGCTCTGCCTTGTCATGCAGAATTGACTGTCTATGCTGCTGCTGCTGCTGCTGCTGCTGCTGCTGCTGCTGCTGCTGCTGCTGCTGCTGCTCAATCACTCCTGCTCCTGAATTTCGAGCTGCTGAATGTTGATGGAGATAGGCCTGGCGTGGGGACTACTGCTGCCGTTGCTGACGCGGCTGCTGCTGCTGCTGCTGCTGCTGCTGCTGCCGCTCGTGCTACTGCTCTTTCCGGCTGCTGCTGCTGCTGCTGCTCCTGCTTTTTATCCCCCTGCCGCTGCTGGCTTTCATGCTGCCAATGTACCCTGGTTTAGTTGGTGCTTTTCTTTGTTTAGGGGAAAGACATCTAGTGACCGATGGAATGAACTCCTGCACCTCAGTCCTGTCAACGTAACACCCACGTGCTGCACATGCTTTCATGACCGGACTGCTTGTCTCGGTAGATCTCTGCTGCGACGTCCAAGTTGTTGCGGAATTGCTTCTTCCATTCCAGGAATTCTTTGCGGGTCTTGGGCTCTGGAGCATCCGCATCGTGAGGCTCCGCGAAGTCGATGCCTGCGTCCCTCTCGTCGGCATCCGGGTCCTGCTAAGACTGCAGAGGACGGACGCGCCGCTGCGTGATATACTTGCTAGACCCGAGTTTGGGGTTACTGCATGCTAGCCTCATCAAACTCTGCGCATGTGGCGTGCGTGATGGCCGCAGAGATAGTCCAGTCACGTGCCAGGGACTTGCAACGTGACGTGAGCGCGAACCAGGCTTTGTTGCGTATCTCAGCTTCCACAGAATGCAGACTGCATGCGGAGCCAATACAGCACTGCAGTTCCAGACATGAGTTCCCTATATTCTCTCTATGGTACTGCCCAGCTGCGTACAGACCGCGGTTCGTCACAGCCTTCTCGCGACTCCAGGCAGCGAACGTGTCTGGCACATCCTCGCTGCGGATGTCTGTCTGGCGATCCTGGGCGATCATCTCGGCGAGTTCATAGAGCAACTCGGGCTTGGCTGCGTTGCGTTGCACGAACTTCTCCAGGGCCAACTTCTTGTTGAGGTGGTTTGGGCCAGAAAGGAACCTGCGTTGGCCCCCAATTTCAAAGCTCATGGGTGCTAGGGCCTCAAGCCAAGAGACAGACAGAGCGAGCCAGAGGGCGAAAGAGAGGGAGAGAGAGAGAGAGAGACAGACAGACAGAGAGACAGAGAGACAGAGAGACAGAGAGACAGAGAGAAAGAGAAAGAGAAAGAGAAAGAGAAAGAGAAAGAGAAAGAGAAAGAGAAAGAGAAAGAGAAAGAGAAAGAGAAAGAGAAAGCGTGCACGCGCGCCTCTTGTTTGGTGCGAGGTTTCGCGTCTGGACCAACACGAGAGAAAGAGAAACAGAGAGAACGCGAGAGGTGCGGGGGTCGACACACAGAGACACGGAGAAAGAGGGAGAAAGAGAGAGAGAGAGAGAGAGACAGACAGACAGAAAGAGATACAGAAATAGAGAAAGAGAGAGAGGGAGAGAGAGACATCGATAGAAATTAATTAAACCACAGAGAAGCACAGAGAGAGACAGAGAAAGAGAGTGAGAGAGAGAGACGGACAGAGAGAGAAAGAGTGCGTGTGTGAGGGAGAGAGAGAGAAAGAGAGAGGGAGAGTGACATTCAGATACAAGAAGAGGAGCCGGCCAATTCGACCTAGTCACGGGCCATGGTTCACCTGGCTCAGCACCGTGGCCTTTAAAATGGCCGGCGTCATGCCAGCTCTCGCCAGGCTGTTGCCTAGCATCTACAACACAGCAGCGAAAACTGCGGAGCACGGGCTGAGATGAATTGCCAGCAAGCAGCGGCAATCATTCCAGCAGGGATGACAATCGTCGCCCTGGTACCAGCAACGTAGCTTGGTGGAGAGCATCCGCCAGGCCTTAACTCCGGAAGTCTCGCCGTCCGCAACCTCAATTGTGGCAGTCTGCTTTTGGGCTACTGAGCAGGGGCCCTGCGAGAGGATGTGTTCAAGCAGAGTGCAGGGATAAGGGGTTGCAGCCGAGGACGGGCCATGAAGGCAACATCTAATAAAAAAGGGCTGGCCTGACCAAGGAGCGCCTTTCTTGAAAGGCCTGTCGCGGCAGCTCGGAGGCACCAACTCTAGCTTCTCACCAAAGACCAGGCGCTTCTGTGGAATGAACATGGTCAGGTCTCGACCCACTTGATTGACATTGTCTTGATTGATCCCCTGGATGTTTGCCTCGGCAGGAGAAGCAATTGATGAATTCGTTAAAGGCTGTCTGTCGTGCGACAACATCCAACCTGAGTGCTGCAAGTTGCCAGGACGGCTGACAATGAGGAGACAGTGCGTTTCACACAGGTGCCCGCCATCTCAGAGCCGTCCAGCTCTAGCCTCGGGTTCGGCATGGCCGTGGAAAGTTGCATGTCTTGTGCCTGGAGAGAGGGCCGCTCAACCAGGTAGAGGACGCTTCCGCTCGGCAGTCCACTGCGTGCTTGCTCTCGGCCTGAGCTCTGGAAACCCCATGATGGACATGCTCCGCGCTCTCTGACTGGATGACGTGCAAAGCAGCTTTGCATGAACACGAACCCTGAGTTGATGTCAGTCCTTTGGACGTAGGGATGTTTATTGAGCAAGATTTCTGGGGCCACACAAAGCTACAAGATCTCGGGTTTGTGGGGTGAGCGGGGTTAAGGTCCTTAGTCTAGATGCGGGCGTGGTCAGGCCTCAACCCTGATGCACTGATCCGAGGCTGTTTTCCACGGCCGGCGGTGCTGCCTCTGTGCGTCGGCACGCACTGCTACGCGTGGCTGGGGATTAGGCCAGTCCATGCAAAACAAGATGTGCCACGACCTCTTTCTTGAAATCCCTACAACGTTGATGCTCTAGCTACCGGGTACTGCACTTGTAGTAGCACAGGCACTCTTCGCATAGCCTGAAGTACTCCCCTGCAGAGAGTGTCTAAGGTCTGAGTGTACCTGAAAACTCTACAGCCTGCATGCGATGACTTAGAACCGCTGCAGTCAGGTATCGTTTATGCAGCAGGTGCAAAGTACTTCCGCTTGCTATGCACTCCAGTGGCAACTGCGAGCCATGGACGGCAAGAGCGTGGATGCCCAGGATCAGGACTTGGATACAAGGCCGGTGCTGCAGGGTTTCGGTGCTGTCCGAAGCCGTTGGGTAAGGAGAGACACCCTAGGAATGCACTTCAGGCTTGACAACCGAACCCCAAGATCAGATGCACATAGCAAATTGAATCCAATCCTTCCAGCAAACGTGAAACGTTCACTTGGCAGCCGGTGGTGGCTGGACGACCGCGGCTTTTGCCACGAGAGGGCTGGCCTTCGGAGTGGCCTGGCCAGCAGACGGAGATTGGGGAATGTGGGGGTGGGGCGTGGCTTGGGGAGGGGTTCCAGCCCTGTTCTAAGCCTATTCCAGGCCTATCCGGGCCTATTTCGAGCTTATTTCGAGCTTATTTTAGGCTTGGATTAGCCTAGGAATAGGCCCAGGATAGGCCCTATGTAGCCTTAATCCAGCAGAATCCCATCCTTAAACCCAGACAACTCCCTAGCTAAATTAACAGAGAATAGCCTAGACCACGGGTACCTCTGAATCTGCGTTCCCTGAACAAAGGAAGCCTGGGACTCTGATCCTGGAACCACGCTAGAATCTCTGACTGTAACGCTCGGCGAATTTCCGTTTCCTGTGCGCAAGGCCTTCGCCGCGCCGGGCCCGGAGAGCTTGGCAGGAGGCGGAAGTGGCGCTGGAGATCCAGCCTGGGCAGGAGAATCTTATTTTGGAACCGCAGTTCTACGTGGGAAGCGGGTTTATCGCGCGTGCGGTAGTGGGGTCGTGTCTATTAGTGTTTGGGGCGCTGGGATCAGGGTCCGGGTTCCGCTTTTGGCTTTTTGCTTCGAGGGGCAGGGTTCTGCGGTTATGCAAAAGGCTTGAATTCACACCACAGCCTTAGTGCAAAAATGCCGAAGCGTGCAAGCAACCTGGGCAATCACGCTGCTCTGAGAGTCGGAAGGCGCATTGCGCTCCGTGGCCTCTGGCCGCTTGCCCTCGGGAGCCTTGGTGCGCTCGAAGTAGGCGAGAAGGTAGAGACTCTTGGTGGCTTTGGAAATGGAGCCCACGTAGTACTTCCGTAGTGCTTGTGTCCCTCCTGGCAGACGTATCGTTGGCTCTCCCCTCCCTCCATCCCAGCCCAGCCCAGCCCAGC